TGTTTATTTTTACAAGATTTTTGATTTATTTTTCTAGATTTTTTACATTTATTTAATTTGGTCCGTGGGGCTGACACAACCAGTATTTCTGTTCATCCTAATCAATATACTTGTAATAWCTGTCATGTTGCAAATACTACATAATTAAATATTTATAACTTTGATCAATAAATACCGAACTTCTCATCTTTTATTTGCATTTTCAGATTTACTGTCCTGATCCCTGTTATAAAATTGAATTCACTTTATAGACAACTCCCCAAATATATCTAAAAGTTAGTTGTACATACATGCCAACCCCTTCAGACCTTTACCTGTATAATGAGCCTTAAAAATCGGTAATTGTTGTAAAAAAATCTATATTAATCACACGCAGGGGAGCTGGGGAGTTCACGTGGACCATCAGCCGCAGAGGGGAGGGGAGGGGAAAGAAGGGGACGGGGGTGCGGTGCAGGTGGACTGTCAGCTTCTGTATCAGAAGGAAATGAGGGCTGAAGAACTTGTTTCTAGCAATAGAGTGGGTTGGAAGTCCATTGATGATAATTGTTTTTTAACGTACAGGCTCTGACATGTTGAATAAATTAGAAACTAAGTTTTTGAAAGATTCCATAAAACATGAAAAAAATCTGTGAGATTGCTCTATACATCAAGAATTTGACTAAAAATGCAAATAAAAGATGAAAAGTTCAGTGTTTATTGACCAAAGTCATAAAGATGTAGTATTTGCAACATGACAGTTATTACAAGTATATTGATTAGGATGAATACAAATACTGGTTTTTGATTGTTTATTACATAATGCACCAAATTATTACACCACCACATTTTGTAATTGCCACAAAATGTAATAACGTTATTACATAATGCGTTGAAGACTTTTACATTTTGTGCCAATTATTACATAATGAGGTTTTAGCTTGAGTTTATTACATTTTGAAGCCTAATTTTATTAAATTCTTACATTAATATGCTGTTATTACAAAATGAGGTCTTACAGATGTCATCAGCAAATAAATGATAAGGAATGTCACAACATTCAATGATCAGACCCAAGGGGAGCATGTATAAAGAAAACAAAGGCCCCAAAACTGATCCCTGAACTCCACAAGTTGCAGGGGTTGAATCATGGTGCGTTCACACCGAACGCGATTTCAGCTTCAAAATCGCAGCCAACGCTGAAGTTTGAAGCTTGTGCACTTTGAGGTCAGATGCAGGACAGCTCTTGAAGCACTGCATGGCAGAGCCTCCCCACCCCTCCCTCCTCTGTCGGGCTCTGTTTAATGTCGGACAAGGAAGTGGCTTTGCTTTATTTACAGAGAGCAAGAGCGTGTCATGTTCATCAGATAATTAATTCATAATTAATTCACCAGATAATTCAGAGTAGAGGCTCACAGCTCACTTTCAGGACTATTTTTCCAGTCTGATGAGTCGCTGCCACGCACTGCTGCGGATCAGGACACGACTGCAGGCACTGGATTTCAGCCAAAGAGCTCCGCTCTGTCTGTTTCAGGTTAGTGGACATCATTCAGTAAACTGTCCCGTCGGGAAATATGTCGCTACGTCACACAGTGGAGTCTCTCTGATTGGTTGATGCTGCGCATCGAGCTGCAAAAGTTCAGATTTTCTAACTTCAGCGATTTGCGCCTCAGCGCGTCGAACACTCAGATCGTTCAAATCGCGCTGCTCTAATCGCGCTTGAGGCGCCGCAGAATTTCCCGACGTTGCTTGAAGCGCGTCCACCATAGACTTTGCATGTAAACCTGATGCTCCTGACGCTGAAATCGCATTCGGTGTGAACGCACCAACAGCTACCAATCGTCACTAAAACATCTTTCACTAAAGTAAGATGAAAACCACTGTAACAGTGAGCCAGATAAGCCCATCCAATTTCTTAACCTGTCTATTAAGATATGGTGATTATATGGTATCAAATGCGGAACTGAGGTCAAGCAATACTAAAACTGAACAATCACCAACATCACGCGACATTAGCTGATCATTTGAAACCCTCAACAATGCTGTCTCTGTAGAATGCTTCTTCCTAAACCCAGACTGATTTTTATCATAAATGTGAATTTTTTCCAAAGCAGCAGAGCTTTTTTGGGGCCATTAGTTTGGTTCAAAAGAAAAACATTTTGAAACTGAAAAAAAGATATTTGAAACTGAAAAATTATTTTGAAACTAAATAATACAGATTTGAAACTCAAAAAATATTTATTTTCAGTTTCAAACTTCTTATTTTTCAGTTTCAAACTTTTTTTTCAGTTTCAAACTTAACAAACCCGAAGGAATTCAGAAGATTTTATAATGGTGGAGGTATATGGAGCTTTTTTGGGGGCCATTAGTTTTGTTCAAAAGAAAAACATTTTGAAACTGAANTATTTTTCAGTTTCAAACTTTGTATTTTTCAGTTTCAAACTTCTGGTTTTTCAGTTTCAAACTTTTTATTTTTCAGTTTCAAACTTCTTATTTTTCTGTTTCAAACAATTTTTTCAGTTTCAATTTTTTTACAGTTTTAATTCTTTTTTTCAGTTTCAAACTTACTTTTTTCAGTTTCAAACTTATGTCCCCCTTTTCGCGTGGGGGGCGGGGCCTCGGAGGACAGGGGGTGCGGAATCATGACTGACAGCTCAGGCACGGGCTGGACAAGCTGTTGCATTCAGGAACCGTTGGAATTAGAAATGTCTTTGAAACATTATCGATCTTCTATTTTTATGTAATTGTTTTTGAAAACTAACATGCTTAGCTAATATAAACTCTTTATTTCAATGTGCGACACGAATCTCAGTGTACGAAATATAATATTTACAAATTTGCAAAGCATTTTCAGTCGGTGTTGGACATTTCCCACGCTCCCAATTTAAACGGAAAAACATGGCGGGAGTGAAGCATCCGATCCGACCGAGGTACACTTCGCTGCAGCATGCAGAATGGGGCGGTGACGGACCTTTCCGTCAGTCCCATTCCTTATATGGAAATGGGACTATTGCATTCCGGAAATGAAGGTTGCTCCTTAAAGACGCGGGATTAAGAGAGCAAAGGAAGAAGAAAGGAAGAAGTTAGAGAGTTTCTTCTACTCACGTTGAAGTACTCAGAGCATTATTTATTAATTTCTTTTATCCACCTCCCCAAACACAGACCCTCAGGTTAACCTCACAGGTTTAATGCCTATGGTTAACCTAAGCCTAAGGTTAGTTTGTTACTGTAATATAATATTAATATCCAAAAACAACAAAGATTTAATAAAGATTAGAAAATGAAAAAGAGACATACCACGTGACATAACACGTTTTGTAGCCATTTCCTTACCGTAAAATTTGTATTTTTAATGTTGAAAGTGTTCGATAGAAAATAGTGTCACTAGCGCCCCCTTCATTTTCAGAATGCAATAGTCCCATTTCCATATAAGGTATGGGACTGACGGAAAGGTCCGTCACCGCCCCATTCTGCATGCTGCAGCGAAGTGTACTTGATCCGACCAGCAGCAGCACTATTTAGCATCATGGCGTCGTCTTCTGCGGGCACAAGTGAGCAGGTAATAATAATGAAAAGTTAGTTGTCATTTTATAGCACAGGGACACAGAGAAAAGAGAAAACAGACACATTCATTCTCGATACTTGAGCCTTCTGTGAAACGTCAACTGGTCTGCCATATTGGAAGTGCCAATTCATTCTGGAACCAGACACAAGAAAATGTGAATTTTCTGAATTAAAAACAACTGACTTTATACTTGCCTTTATGTTTTAGATGGACTTTTTTAGATGTTAAATGTAAAACAAAATTAGTCAAAGCGACATTTATTTATTTTTTGCTGTCCTACAAATTTCACAAGAAAATTACAATTTCAACATGCAGTTTTGCTGTTGTTTAACGTATTTAAGTATATTAAATGTATTTTCAGCATTTTAACACAAGTTGTTACTCTTTTGTTTTTCAGCTCATTTGAAGTTATTGAATTATGTATCTACAGGAACAGATGAAATGGGATTTCATGCAGCAACGTCTTCACAAGTTGACACAGGTCATGCAAAGACAGCCTCTTGATGTGGACTATCTTCGGTTTGTCATAAACCATGAGATGCTTCTCTTCAGGTCACTTATGAACCATGTTCAGATGCCTCCTGATGTAGTCCAGGGATTTACTGTGCTCTCAACGCTTATCAATGGTGAAGATGCACAACATTTCAGCTCTTCCCAGCTACCACAAAATATGTGTTACCTTCTCACCAACTTCAGACTTTTACAGAAATGTCCTTGTCAGTGCCCAAAATCGCAGCCCTTCTGGTTATGTCTCAGAGGACAGTGAAACGACGTTTGCGTGACTATGGAATGTCAATAAAACAATGTTATAGCCAACTGACCAATGAAGACCTGGACAGTTTAGTGAGGTCCATAAAAGCAAAAACTCCAAATGTTGGGTACAGAATGACAAAAGGGATTCTTCAAGCCATGGGCCATCGTGTACAGTGGAAGAGAGTGTCTGCATCACTGCATCGTGTTAACTCTGTTGGTGTGGTCAGAAGAATGGCAGGATTGAGTTGTGTTGCCAGGATTTATTCTGTTCCAGGTCCTCTTCATTTGGTTCACATAGACACCAACCATAAACTCATAAGGTGTAGTAAACTTTTCTTGTCAACATTATATTAATCATGTAATGGTAACTTTCAATTTTTATTCCTTTGTTAAAAACAATTACCATTGTTTCCTTGTTTTCTCTTTACAGATATACTCTGGTGATATTTGGAGGAATAGATGGCTACTCAAGAAAAGTATGTTTTATTTAGTTATTGTCTTTTACTGACATTTCATGTACTTAATGAGGGCACTTCAAAAGTCATAAATTTGTCCCAGACAATACTTCATACAATGATATCTTTATATGATTTACAACCTCATCAGCTAACTGAGCTAGAATGGAGTGGCTGTAAAAACAAAAAAGAAATGCACATATTAGAAGTCAAATTTGATTCAAAATTCAAACAACACAATTACACTTGCCTGTTTCAATGTAGGACCTGAGGAATCCAACAGTTCACATCTGGATGCTCAGTGGGTAAGGCGGATCATCATCATCATCGCTCCCGTCTCCTGGCCAAACAATGTGGCCAAGAACAGCCTAACACAAAATTACAGAGATACACTTTAAAAATTTTTTATCAATTTTTAAAAAAATTTGTCAAAGCATATGATGGACTAAATCTGACATTTAGAAAGAATAGCATAAATATATAGATGGACCAATGAATAAACAAATACATTTATGAGTATATGAGTGAAATAACATTAAAAAATAACACTGGTGGGCTTTGTAAACTTTATTTTCTTACAATACTAGTTTTTCAGTTCACCTTAAAGCTCATGTCACAGACCATTGCAAAGTTTATCTGATGATTGATTTGGATTGTATTTAATCTTTTTTTGTATTTTGGGTTCTTTATTTWACATTTGGTGTTTTGGATTGAGCATGTTTTTCTTTTACTCAACTCATCMTGATAATCTGCTGGTAATTGCTTCCTCTCCCTGAACKGAATTGCTGGATTCTCATTGGCTGAGAGAATGAGTCCCATGCCCTCTTAAGCTGGACAATTAAAACCAGGTGGGAGAGTTGGAAGAGAGGGAGAGGACCCATCCCACTGCTCAGCTCCTCCAAACCTGTGATCAACCTGTCAACCCTGCAGCGAGGCAGCTTGGTGTGGTCTTTGATTCAACGCTCACAATTGTTCAACTAAAGGAAAGTAATTATTATCCTCCTGGGCACATTAGCCCATTTTGGGTATGATTGGTCGGCTCCTTAGTTCCTACTACTGTTTTGCAGAGCACAAGTGAGAGCACAGGATGTGGGTGTGCAGCTGGAACGTGCAGGCTCTGAAAGGATCAACTATAACTGGGTTCATTGGAGTGGAGATCTAGCAGCTGGCCTCCATACAGGTGGATGGAACAGTTTCCTGCCAGGACTGTGTGGTGATCTCCCCCTGCTGGTGTGGTGACAGACTTTAAAAGAAAAGCATGAGATGAACTGAACTGAGCTGTGGGGATTGGAGACTTGGACTGTTGTTTTTGGACAACCTGTTTCTTCCTTTTGCAGATTTTTCTCTTTCAGAGATTGTTTTTCTTAATTGTTGTTTTTACAAATAAATGTGTATTTCACTTTTTAAACCAATTGTATTCTCCACTCTTCATTGTGATTGTGTGACGGGAAAACCAACAGATTGTAAGAAAGCAGTTAAAAGCTGTGACACTCACACAAATTTTCAAGTCTTGTTTCTCAACACATTCTGACATAAATGTTTCAGTTTGAAATATGAATGTAATCTTCCCAGAGTCTTCATTGTTCTGGTCAGGGGTGGTTCCATTGTAAATTGCGTCTATGGAGAAAAACGAAATTAGTCAGAACATCATGGCAACATTTTCAAAGGACTAGAAATATAAATTTGTATAAATGAAGCTTAACATTGAGACCTGAAAGTCAGCTAACTTAATCACATCATTACTGCATTACTACTTAAACTAAAACTCCATGTGGCATTCATAACAAGAGCAACATTTGATTATAACACTAGGAAAAATACTTTAGGTTCTGGTAAATCGGAAGTCCGTAATGTTATGTATGAGACAATTATTTTGAAATGCCTGGTTACCGAAACAGGAAGTGTTAACACAAGATTGCATTACCAGTTTCGTCCCGCGGTCTGCAGCTCGCCATTTCCGCTGATTTTGCTAAAGTCTTGTTTCTGATGGTGAGGTGATTTCATGGTCAGACTCTACTCAAATGGACAAAAATCAAAGGTAAGTTGGATAAAAACCTTTAAACCAATGTCACAAATCATCAGCTAACGGTAGACAAAGTTAGTAAAAGTTTCATTTTCCTAAACGTCGCAGCTAACGCACCCACAGATTTAGACAGTTTTAGTAGTAACTTTCTATCTGTTCATAATTAGCTGTATGTGGTGTTGTCTGTCTTATGAAAGGTTTTTATCAGGCAGCATTTTAATAAGAACAGTAAAATGTAAAACACATGGCTGTGGATTGGTCAAGACAGGCTCCACTTCGAAAACGATTAATTTTTATTTATTAAATTATTTTCCGCGCAAACACCAATTATTAGGGTACTTGCACGGTGCTTTCTAAATAAGGAGCTTCGTAGCTTTACGTTCAAAGAATGTAAAAAAAAAAGAGAGAAAACATCAGATGTCAACCCGGAGGTCAAAGCCATAACGGGTCAGACATTACCCTTGCGGCTAGGCCTGTCGCGATAGACAAATCAATTAATTGCACGATAACTTTTTTTGAGGTCGGTAAAAAAATGAGGTCGATAAGTTTCATTTTCCTGCTTGTTTGTTTACTTGGTCTCTCTCCCTCTGCTCCGCTGCACAGGAGCTCAGCTGACCCCTCCCCTCCTGTTTTCTTAGTGTGGGAGGAGTCAGCTCTCGTTTTAGCATGAGAGCGCGTACCTATAACAAACTAAAGAAATGTTTGAAAGCAGAACACGGCTGCTGCAGTATCGGAGCACTACAGCCTGAATTTCGCTGCGGAGGGCGGGGGAGAGAGAGACAGAGGAGGAGGAGGAGAAGGGGTGGGGGCTGAAACTCCCCCAGACCCGCGACACAAACTCGTCAAGACTTTACCTGTAGCTCCCAAAAATAACAGGAAACTTAAACGCACCGTGTTTTAACAAAAACCCCAAAAAACCTGTAGCTGTCCCAACAACTCACGAGGAAAACTCTGAACTGTCTGATTTCCTCCCTGCAGCGCTCTGGCTGTCTCCTCTGACTGTCCCCTCCTCACACACACACATAGACACGTTTGTTCTTCTATCCTCTTGGGGACTTTGCATTGACTTTCATTCATTTACCAGTATTTTCTATTACCATTTGACCATAAACCTAGCCCAAACTTTACATGGGATGTGAACTGGGCTCATGTCCCCATAAGAAACGGTGGGTCCTCAGCAGGCTGTGTAGTTTGCTTCATCTCTAAAGACATGCTGCTCTTTAATATTGTTTATTTACTGTCTTAGTTGTGTGTGGTGTTTAATTTACATTTTGTTGTTCTTTGTTTTTTTTTATTCAAGTGCATTTTTTTAGAGACTGAGAGTCCACTTTGTTAAACATTCTTTAAAAATTAAAGTTTATTGATTAATTACACTTACATGTTACGCTTTTATAATTATTAGTTGTAAAATGGTCACCAGGCAATATTATCGCTTATCGCAATAATTTGTGAGACAATTAATCGCCCAGCAAAATTTGTTATCGTGACAGGCCTACTTAAGACACATGGGCGCAGTTAGTACGGGGGACGGGGGGGACATGTCCCCCCCAGATTTATAGTGACCCTGATCTGTCCCCCCCACTTTCCCTGATAGGATGAGAAAAAATCTGATCAAAACTTATGATTACAGTTCTGTTAGTTCGCTGACGCTCCCACAGAGGAGCAGCAGCAGCAGCGCGGGTAGCAGCTACCCGCGCTCTCCCCCCTCCCTTCTCGTCCCATCTCTCAGGATGTGTCACACAGCGGAGCGGTGCAACACACACACACACACACACG